GAGCACGTTTATCTTCGGTAGATGATTTAAATAACTTATTTAAAAAACCAGGTTTTTTTTTCTTTATCTTTATACACTGCAAATCAACAAGATTTAAAAACGTCGGAATTAGAACATCAAAATAAGAATACTAATTATGAAACACAAAAAACTAATCTAATCTCCGAAGAGGTTAACGAACTTGTTTTATTAAGGGGAAAAATTAAGGAAGATGAAGTTGAACTTACTGACGCTCACGAAAAGATTAGTGAACTTTATAAAGAGCTTGATGATGTGAAAAAGAAAAATAAAGAGATTGAAAGTGAAAATCACAAACTTCATCAAGCTGATCATAATAAAGAAATGGCCCTAGTAAATATTACAAATGAACGTAATAATTTAATCAGCCGTTATAATTCATTAGTTAGAGCATTTGAAGAACTTACAAAAAAGAACGAAGAATTAAAAGTTGAAGCTGCTCATTATCAGTCAAAATTGGGTGATGCAAAAAATTTCAAATTAGGTGATGACGATCCTAATAATAGCACTGCGCTTACACGAGATATCGAACATTTACAAGATAATATTAATTCGTATGCAAGGGTCAAAAAAGGTGTGACGCTTAATTTGGAAACTGCGCAGAATGCTTTACAACAATATGGCTGTTCACTAGAAAATGTCGCAAATGAAGATTCAGAAGAAAAAATACTTATTAAATGGCTCCTTCAAAGAATTTTGATCCAAAATGTCACGGATATGATGGGAAGATATTTAAAAAACCATAGCTCCCAACTCGTTCCAGAAGGAAATCGCGAATTAGAATTGATCCATACAACTAGTAAAATGACAGAACTATTAGGCGAATTTAATAAACATCGTGATGGTGTTGACGAAGTAACTCAGGTTGCACCGATAAAACTACGTCAACAGATCTACGCAGTTCTAGGTGATCGTGGTTTTGCTGATATTAAAGGCGAGCAAAAAGAACATCCATTCATCACTCATGTTTCGACATACATTGATCTTCTTATGTCCAGGTTTCGTACTTTTAAAGATGAAGAAAAGAAACAAGAAAATGATAAATTACTACCTTCTATCATTAGAGAAATTATAAAAATTTTCTTTTTCCGATTAAGAGTGCAGGAACCAGAGGCAACATTCAGATGGTTTAAAAGAGGTGATAAAGTAGATCCTATTCAAATGGTTGGTCCGTGGGACGAAAATATAGATCAATGGTTTGTCGATATTTGTTATTTCCCTTTGATTGGTATAGATTTAGATAATGAAAACAATCGTAAGATACTTTTTCAGGCAAGAGTAGCAGTGTATAAAGATAAAGAAAAAAAACCTGGTTTTTTAAATAAGTTATTTAAATCATCTACCGAAGATAAACGTGCTCGTCCACAAGTCAAACAAAGCAGCACTAGTAGTCAATCTAGTCAACCTAGTCAACCATCTTCCAGACAAAATAGCCTTAAAAATCCTGATCCCAACACTATGATACCACTGACTTCAAAGAGTCAACATCCTCAAAATCCAAACGTGTCTGATAATAATCGAAAAGGTTGATTATGCTATAAACATTTTTACTTTTTAAAAATTTAATGTTAATTCGTTACCTATAATTAACTACGAATGCATTGTTATCTCAGATTACCCGGATTGATTTCTTTTCAGTTCATTTATAAATAGATATTTATATATTCTAATTTGTGTGTGTGGTTTTATTATACAAGTAAAAGCCTATCTATTATCGTGGTTTACTATTATTTTAATAAAAATAAATTTAAGGTTTTTTCTAAATATAATTTTTGAAGACTTGTTAGGGTGTTGACATTGTTACGTAATTTTTTAGAAGATGTGTCAAAAAATTATTTTACTCTTATGGACATAAGAAATATATTAGAAGAGAGGAGGAGGTAAGTCCACATAGTAAATAGAAATTACGTAATTAATGTCGGTGCTCTTATCGTTATTGTCACTCCTATTTTTTGTTAATACCATCCCAAATTTCAGAAGTGCAGAAGTGTATATTAGGAGACATTTTACTAAGTAAACCTTCCTATCGGCCTTGATTGATAATAAGTTATTTTCAACTTTCCGGTCCTAATGGTGTTATAATCATAAAATTTACTGCGGTTTAGAGATGTGCCTCGCGTGAAATATATCTAGCATACATTTTATATACCATGTTGTTTCGTGCGAGATTGAAATTATGACTTCATACTATTAGACTACCAATTACCAAAATTTCTTTATCTCGTGCTAGATATAGCTCATGTGATTTAATCGCGCGAGATATGATGTAAACGTTTCACACAAAGGCACTGCTGCGACTATACTTAAATGATCCAATTTGCGTAGAATAATAAATAAAAAGTGTTTTTTTTATCTATAATTAAAAGTAGGTCATAGGTCTTAACAGAGATAGTAAAGCCGCAAATGTGTAGTCAGAAATCTTTTAAAGTTGAATAGTTTGTGCTATTTCTGATTATTGTTTTGTGAATTGTAAAAAATGATTTTAAAAAAAAGAATTTAGTAAAATTGTTATAAATTTTAATAAGATTAAAATAGTACGTAGCAGCATAAGTATAAAGTTGTATACCGTACAAGCGCGAAATAACGTCCACCTGCGCGTTATTTCCGCTAATTATAATAAGTGCTCCGGAGCTGGGTTTGGCATTAAGTAAACTTATTTTTTGGCAATAACATAAGTTTTCTTCAGATCTAGACGATTCTAACGATTGTAAAATCATAAAAACGGTTCAGTAGTTCACCCGCAATGGCTCTTAAATTTTTGCGACGTTTGTTTGCAGATCATGCAAAAAATTTGAAGAGCCAATGCGGACGAACTATTGAATCATTTTTGATGATTCTACTGCCTCTACCTAGAGAACAACTTTTATTAATTCAAAAAATAGGTTGCTTAAGACCAAGCCCAAGCCCAGTTCCGGAACACATTTTATTTTATTTATCTATTTATTTATTTATTTATTTATTTATAGAGATGCGCGTTAATTCGGGACGCCCATGGGCGATAATTTGAGGCTACATTTACTATTTTAGGGTATCTAATTTTCAAATTAACGCCCTGAGCGCTTTAAATATATATAATTTTTTTTTTTTAATATTAAAGGTGAGACCATGCTCATCTTTATATAATGTTTTTTCTATTAATTTTATCCAACATGTTAATAGGAAACCACATGCTCTTCCCCAAATATCCTCCAACAATTGCATTATCTGCAAAACCAATTTTATTGGCTTATTTGCTCTAATGCTTCTACTCTTCTTAATACTTTTTACAACATAATTCTCCTGACTCTTGAAATTATTTTCACACAACCAGTGTTTTCAATGTTCTCAAGAATGTTTAAAAAATTGAGAACACCTTTAAAAATCAAGTTCTCTTTTGAAAACAATCTAAGAATATAAAATTTATAAATTATGTTTTTTATAAAATATATATATAATGTTTTTTTTAACAAGTATATTAAAAAAATTTTTGATCATATATATATATATATAATATTAATACAGTATGTTTTCAAAAAAAAAAGCAAAAAATTTTCAGATATTTTTTACTATAGTACTACACACAACTACAAAAACTAACTTTTATAAACTTTTACACAACATCTATTTTTTCACTTTATATAATTATATATAATATAAAATTATAGTAGATTAAAATTAGTTATTTTAAACTAATTTAAGCAAAATTATAGTTAGAGTTTAAATTAGCTTAAAATAGTTTTTATATACCGTATTCCACACCCCCTCGGAGCAATTTTTATAGCCAAAAATTCTCGTGATCTAATGATTGGATCTATGTAATTCTGGTACCATTCGAATCATTTTGACAAGTCGATTCGAATGGTACCAAATTATACAGATCCAGTCACTAGTTTATGGGCATTTTGGCTATAAAAATTGCTCCGAGGGTGCTTGTTTTCGGAGGAATACGGTATTATCATTTATAATAATTTTATATATTTATTATATATTTATTTATACTATATTAAAGGATTTTGGTTTTATTTTAACGGATCATCTTTAGTATATAAAATTATATATATATATACGTATAATAATATATAAAAACTAACTAATTTAGACTCTAACTCTCACAAACCCTAACTATTATAAATTTGCTTAAATTGGTTTAAAATATAATTTTATATTATATATACAGTATATATACATATATATATATATATATAATTATATATATCTATTTACCGTAAATTCTCCCATACCCGGTATACTGAAGATTAGGTTGGATACTAGAAATATTCAATACAAATACTTTAAAAATTTTATATACAACCCTTAGAAAAATATAAGATATATATAGCAAAAATATACACTATAGATGTATCTTATAATAATTGTATGTGTGCACCTATCCATTAACCACTATATATCAGTTATTTTTTTTATGTAAAAATTTAGCTACAGATACCTAATAATACTATAATCGATATAATAGTTATCTATAATAATATAATAATGGCAGGTATATTAATTTCGACATTTTCGGCAAGCTAAAAATTTCGCCTTGATGAAAATATTAAAAACATTTTGCCATGCGATCCGCCGTAAATAATCCATAATTTAGACACCCATGTGTACTTGCAGAGTGTCCAGCTATTTCTTACACCTAAAGTAGCGCTGGTGATATCACAGCAACTATTATATAAACAATTTTTTATTTTTTTATTCTATATACAAGCATAGAAATAAACAAATCTTCGCCGAATTTAGTTACACAGTTATTATTAGCGTTAGCGCTATTTTAAATGCTGGAAATAACTGTCCCGAATTTATAATCATTAGGCTGATCCGATAATTTTTTATTGATGTCGGCCGCAGTGTGTGGCCGCAACAAAATTTAAATTTCCGCATATGCGGATTTCACAAATAAATTGAATATATGCGCAATTAAATAATCTGCAAGTAAATTTTTTCATTTATTTATTCATTTGCAGGTTCTACTAATTTCAAGAAATTCCGATGAATGAATCGATAAATTACTGATGTGGACCGACATCAAAAACATCAATTTTCAAGTGCAGACACTTGCCATTTATCGTAATCGTTACATAATAAATTTGCCCGATTCCTGAATCTAAGAATCACTCTTCGGAAAATATGCAGCTATCTTCGGAAACTTCAATCCGGAGACAGTGATGCAATTTCCGGTGAGTTAGATGATTATTAGAACGAAACCGATCCGTACGGAGTATCTATCTATCTATTATATAATATAAAATCTTTAAATTCTCAATCCAAAGCCCCAAATTTCAAATTCCAACCTCAATTTTGCCCAACAAGTATACCCAGACATATTCGATCCGCTTTGACCTTCCCTGTATATTCGCTTTGGGGTTTGTATTACGACATTTAAATCAAACCGGTTAGTTATCTTGTTGGTCCATTTTAATACATCACAGTTTCACAAATTCTAAAACCCTGGCAATTTCATTTCAGCATTTCGTTAGGTTACCTTTTCAGGTTCAAGTAGCTTTGTCCCTTTTTTTCTTAATAAGTGATACGAATACAATCCAAAAAAAAAAGGCGCATTCTATTGAGAAATTTGTGTCTTTTTATATACGCTTTAAAATTTCGTTAATATTATTCTAGCTTTTTAAAATATGAGTTGGAAAAGCGACATCAGAGTTGTTGTGGGTATGAAAACTTTGAGGATTCTGAATAAAATGGTTTAACATTCAAATTTAATAACTTTCTAACTCGTTATTTTAACATTATTAGCTATAGGTAAGAAATTGTTGAAATCGTTGGCGTTTGCAAAATGATATTAGTATTAATAAAAATTTGCTAATAACTGGCTTGACGTCCATATGATTCCGTTGAATAGATTTTGGGACGACTTATTCTGTATGTTTTCATACTGTTTTTTTTAGAATTCAATTCAATCATTTTCATTTAATCAATTTTTTTTTTCGTCCCATTCTTACTCTAACAGGGTTTTGCTTACGCAAATAAAGCCAATCCAGAAGTGATTACAAATGATACGTGGCCAGAGGTAGCGGGTGTATTAAAAACTAACACAGTTTTGAAATATGATCAAAATCTCAAGAACGTAGAAGCGTGGGGGCTACCAGCATTGGCACAAAAAGCTTCACGACGGGCGGAGAGAAACAGTACTTCAAAGCCTGTTGAGTTATTCAAGCTTCATTTAGGCAATATGCCTGAGAAGGAGAAACCTGTGCTGCCAAAAGGATTAGAATTTAAGAGGGCGATCACAGATTATTTAACAGAAATAGGTACGTGTGTTGAAGTTTTTTATAATTCTTTAAAAAAAAAAAGCTTTGTTTTAAAAACCTAATATATTATATTCCTGAAAATAGGCAAAGTAAGTTGTTTCCAATTTTATCGCAAAATTCTCCGAAAACATTCTATTGCTAATTATTCGTTTATTTTTCAAATAACAGTTAATCAAAGAAACTGTAGCAACGCGTTGGCCAAATGTTAA